AAGGTCAAATTTGGGCCCCATAAGCGATTCATTTATTAACCCCGCTAAAAATTTAACTATTAGTTATAAACCAACAATATGCACTCTCCAAAATTACTCATTTAATTTTCAAATGAGAGCGCTTACAGAAAAACAATCATTGGAATTAGCTCTTGGTTAAAAATAGCAAATTCCATTTTTTATTTATTGTTTGTCTTTTGGCGGCAAACATTTGGTCTGTCGCCACGTAGGAGCTACCTCACGGAAATATCCATAATTAGCGGTTCCCAGATCTGTTCTTCAGCGTTTATGACTCCTATGCCAACTGTTAAAATAGCTTAACTGAAGTTGGCTGAAAAATTCTTGTATAAAAATAACTGAAGTTAGAAAGGCGTTTTGCTTCGTTTTTGTTACATAGACACCCGCATGCGTAAAATGAAATACAATGATCGGTCATTGAGAGACTGAATCAAAGTCAGTTTCTGAAAAGAAATTGCTTACCTTTCTTAATTATGGGGGGAGGTGGATTTTGGTGGAGGGGGATGTGATGTAGGAATTTGACTTGTGATCAGGTAGAAGTAGTCGCCCCTCCGTCATTGGGAAGGTTTGTGTTTTCTCAAAGGTAACTTGAGACATTTGTATTTACGGGATGTGCGATAGACTTACCTCCACGTGGTGCACCCTGGGCAACGTATACTCAAACGGCAAAAAAATCTATTAACTGGCAGTTGACTTCTCACTTCAAACTACCATGACCCCACTGTATGTCATATTCGACCACTTTCACAGTACTCACCTCACCTTTCATCTACCTTTGTGTCTGTCCCTCTTACATCTTTAAAACACTCTTCTGTCCCCCCAACCGACTCGACCTTTTTTCACTTTGATGTTCCTTACCCTCTGTGAAGCCTAAAGTCAACTAAAGGGCTAATGATAGAGGTCAACTAAAGGGCTAATGATAACTATCATAAAGCCTGCCATTTGATATATAAACTAGTCATAAGAATTTATTACAAACATCTGGTGGACAATGTAAAAAATTGGTGAATTAATTAGGCTACAATCGTAATTATGCACGCCTGCCTGCGGTTTAAATATCAAATACAATCGAGGAATTGATTCAGTTTTTTCATTAAATAATAATAATTTTTGAACTTTTTCATTCTGAAATTCAGCCCGGTAAACTTCCTAGTATTTAAAATTTTATTTCTGATGTTTGATGCCGCCAAATTTATGCCATTAAAATCTAATCTTAGTGGTGTTTTGGACATAACTGACTAATCCCTACCAAGTGTTAGATCTCATATTGATTAGAGTTATTACGTTGTAGTTACGATCTCAAATTACAGTAAAATTAAGGGGATTCCTTGACCGGTGGTCACCATTTTTTCCCGTGGACATTTATTCCCTCTCATTCTACAAAAAGCCTCGCGGTCTATTTAATTAAAGGGAAGATTTATTGTCTATATTTTAAAGTATATTTCAATCTCAAGGAAATGAGAACGAGGAGAGAAAAGTACGATTCTGGTAAGTGAAAACGAACACTTGAAAAAAGTTATTTATTAGTTAGTTAGTTAGTTATTTTCAAGACTAATTTTCCTCGAACACAATTAATGAAACAGTTTTCAAATGCCAAGATTCCGATCTCATTTAAGAACCAATTAGCTGGAACGTTAAATATCAGAATACCATTCTCAATATTGATATTGACCTCATTGCGAATCTCCTCACAGCGTATTCGCCTGAATCCCATAAAGATAGCATCCCTACACACTCTTTAAGCTTGGTCGTTATGGCTGCAGCTAAGTAACCGAATTGTGGGGTGTGCGATGGACTTACCTCCATGTGGTACATCCTGGGCATCGCCTACTCATATGACAAAAAAGTCTATAAACCGGCAGTTGACTTCTCACTTCAAGCTACCATCACCCCACTGTATGTCATATTCGACTACTGCACAGTACTCTCCTCACCTTTTTTCTACCTCTGTGTCTGTCTATCACTTTTACATCTGTGAATCACTCTTCTGTTACCTCCTCCCAACCTGCCATTTGATAAAATGTATCCAAATAGTACAATGTAGAATACTTCAATTAATCAAAGATCTCATTGTTGAACTCCAGTTCTAACTGTGTGGTAGCTTCAAGGACGGGATCTTATACCATGTATTTCGTCGGCTCTAAAAAGAGTCCCAAAAAACCGTCTGCGTTTCATAGTAAAAGGATATTGAAGATGTTAATAAATAAATACTTCTAAAGATATTTGTCCCCTAACTTTACGACTCTCCCTTCCCACGGTACATGCAATCCAAACAATTATGGTCTACTGGTATATATCGCTCAAGCTCTTATTTGGTTCATTTTATCAAAAAGGTCATACAAATCTGTGGTGCTTTCTCATTGAATAATTTTAATTGTGGGGGGTAGGGGAGGAGTGGGGTAATATTTCGAGAATTCCGTCCTGAAATTTAAATGTCTACCAAGATTTAATTGCTATATTTATCGCTTTGATATTAAGTTCCTGAGGCTAATAATAAATATCCTATTACCTGCCATTTGAAATTAAATTAAGTTCTTCAAATCTCGTTTCAATCTGAGGTCGTTCTAAGCGATGGGGCCACAGCTATGCAATGCGTTGGTTTGGTAAGCAAAGTTAATTTAAGCGATTTTCATAAAAGTTGTTCGAATTCGCCTGAGCGTCGAAAATCTGAAAACATGGAATTTACCTATTTGGATGATTGGGTGGCAATGTCATTTTTGTCTTTAAAGTTGTAGAATTAAGAATTGGGAAGTCTATTAACTACGGTCAAATAGACAAAATAAATAAATAATTATTTCAAATGGCAGGCGTTTGGAATAGTTATCATTAGTCATTTAGCTGACTTAGGGCTTCACAGAGGGGGGAACATCAAAGTGAGAAAAACTCGAGAGGGGGAACAAGAGTATTTCAAAGATTTAAAAGAGACAGACATAAAGGTAGAAAAAAGGTGAGGTGAGTACTGTGAAAGGGTTCGAATATGACATACAGTGGGGTGATGGTAGTTTGAAGTGAGAAGTCAATTGCCAGTTAATAGACTTTGTTGCCATATGAGTATACGTTGCCCAGGGTGCACCTCGTGAAGGTAGGTCTATCGCACACCCCACATAATTAATAAATAAATAGAGGTTATCACGCCTTTTATTCTATCCCTTTTAAGTTGACAGCATGCATTTTTAAGCCTTTGTTTATAGAACTCGATAATAATCTTTGGGTATTTACCAGCGCGGCTACCGCTCTTATCTTTGCACAGTTTCGAGTTTCCTTTAATAACTGAAGGCGAAATCTAATCGAAACCAGTAAGTTGCATTTAAGCCGATTGGTATGTGTTTGACACCACCATCACCACAAGTCATTAGGAAAAGAGGCTCCTTGAGGAAGACCCTCCACCCCTCCCCACCTTTTAATAAATGTATTCAGTTATTGCACCGACGGATACACCGACTATTAACGAGTAAACATCTTTTCTGCCATCCCTCCTTATTCAAATTGTATCTAAGTAAAAATCAGACAAAATCTCGAATTCCACTACTGATTAATGCAAAGTGACTTCAAAACCCGACAGATGCTTTATAGAAGCCGTGAAAAAAAATGTAGAGCTTGGCTGCAGCGTTTTTTGATTCAAGTCCTAATTTATCATTCAACAAGACTTTTGATTTCAAGGAGGCTGAGAGCCCGAAAGGCGGATTTTATCTGACAGTGACCTTGGGGTCCTTAAGGTTATGAGGTTACAGTTCGTTTATTAAAGTGCGCCATAAATTGTTGATGTTCTGAAGTACCAAAGTACACTAAATATCAGGACAAATTTTAGAAGAACTACATAGATTATTTGTTACAATTACTTTCTGGTGTTTGTGATACCGGAATTACAGATAGATTTATAAATATTATTGGTGCCTTTGATCATTTAATGATTTTCATTGAGTAATTAAATTTTGAGGCTTAACAACTTAATCTTAAACACGCACACACACATATATATTGTTGAAAATTTCATCCGTTTTGATTGCTTCATGGTGGTACAGAGATTGGTTTGCTATTCTGAGAAATCAGAAATCACTGGCTCGATGTCCATCGAAATTGCCAATTGACTGGGCTAAGTTTGATTAAGAACGCTCAGGTAAAATCTGAGATTCTCAGTTGAGAGACTCCTAGCCACTACCTACTTACGCACGAGGAGGGGTGAAAAGTGAACAACAAGTCTATCTTGGAAGGTACAGTTATGGATTTTACTTATTTCCAGATTCAATAAGAGATCATTGCAGTAGAGGCTAATCAGCTCCCATTTCCAGAACAAACATTTCTCCTCCTCCTCCTCCTCCTCCTCCCCGTCATTCATCAAAATCAACTACATCTCAGCCTAGTCATGTGTACACAAACTCGCTCTTTTGGAAAAGGCCATAAAGAAGAACGAAAGGCGGGTTATTGACACCAAAAGTCTCCACTTGTAATCAATTGAGAGAAGCATTCAAAATAAGGTACCCTTAGAAATGAATATAATAAGCAGTTCAATTCGGCATGTTAGTTTCTTTAACAATGAATTCTTAATTTGGATTTCTTAAAAAAACAGGCCAACGATCACGTTGAACGGAGGTTTTGTTGTGGAACTTCGGTGTTTGTGAACACATAGCATTTATGATTGTGATCCAATTAGAGAAGAAACCGGATGTAGAGCTTTATGTAGCGGTAGCAGGAAGAATGACTGATATTCAACAGGCTTTCAGCCATTTGTTGATACGACTTTTAATCTGAGCGCGTTAGAAATGCACAAAACACCAGTGAACACCAAACATTTTGGCATAGACGCGAAACATAATCCAATTTACACAGACACATTTATTTTACCATCATCGTACAAATACACAATTTAAAGTTTATGAAAATGCTAAAGGAGAAGAGGGGGGGGGGTGGCAGGGTGTAGGGGAAGAAATGAGTATAAACCATAGAAAAAAAGAGTTGAAAGATGATATCTACATGAAATAGGTCTAGACTAGAGCCACAAGTCCGTAGGACATAGCGACACCTGTAACAAGACCAAGTGCGATGTATGTTGAGGTTGCAATTCCACAGCCCTCTTCGTTACCGGGAGTGGCGTATTTCGGAGCGTAGCTAACAGCCAATGACACGAAATATCCGTTGGTAAGACCCAGAAGCATCACAATGATGAATGGAATCGAATCATGATGGAACAGAGTTGGGATTTTATCCGAGTTGATATTGCAGAACAAAGCTAGAGGCACGAAGAGGAATCGAGCGATAGACAAGAACAGAAGAATTCCGGGTTGCTCAAATTTGGGCTGGAAAGAAAGACGGATTAAACCTTTAAAGCCACCTTTTCATTGACAAGATTTTAAGGTGGTGAATAGGATTGGCTTACCCATTTAAACCAAGTGACAAGCAGTCGACCAACGTAATCGAAAATGTTGAAATTCAAGAAGACAACAACAGCATGGAAGTACTTAGCTGAAAGAAAGTAAATATTACAGTTTAAATGAATAAAGATTTTTTGGGGGG